GTAGTTAATATATACTATTTTATTATGTCATAAATCAAAAGAAATACTTTATATGATATAATTAGCCTACGTGTAGATACAAGCAGAGCCATTAACTATAAAAAAATATTGATACTTAATTTGGACATCCTATCACACATATATCATTTCCCAACAAACAAATCGTCCTCATAAACACCCTATCAAATTCTATCACTAACTTTATCCCCTTCTTACAAAGCATGAAATCAGAAAATAACTTCTTCCTAATACCAAGGACATGCAATACATTCGTGAAAACAATTCTCCATGGTTCTTGATCAAATGACATTTGAAGTTTGATATAATCACCCAACAAAACTTCACGTTCATCTACGGATTTGGTGTAGTCCTTGAACGAGGCTCTATTGTTGTACATGTGAGTAGTTGCTCCATAATCATACCACACATCATTATTGGTTATAACTCTAGTCGTTGGCAATTCCTAGATCATATTCACACTTGCATCACCTTGTTCTTGATGGAGGTAACTTTGCAATCATTATCCCCTGACTCGGTTGTAGTGACAAATTAAAAATAAAACCTAGAATGTGTAGGATTGTATTCCATAGGGCCCTTTATTTCTTCACTACTTTGAATTGAATGCTTATGATTTTGAAAATCCAGTGGGGTTGAGGTGTCCCTAATTTTGAATAACAAAAATAAAATAAAAGACCAAAAACTAAAGTGCTAGAACCAAAATTTAAAGGCAAAAAAAATACAAAATAGACCGCAATCAAAAGACTAAAAAGGAAAATTACAAAGAATTAGAAATGAAAATTAAAATACTTCAAAAGAAATAAATTAAAACCAGTTGTTTAGTGAGTTTCCTCTAAAGATCACCAAACACAAACTAATCAAATCATATAATTAAGTAAAGATTTATTCATGAATTCGGTCCATCTCAATTTCTCTAACATAATTTTTCGATTGCAGCAGAAATATAAAATAAGCCTAAGATTTATTTCTCGACTGCCTTACATCAGTTTTACACACATATTTCATTGATAGCATGCAAAATCATAGGATTCAAGCAGATTTTTTAACTTAGTGATCTAAGAACTATCATAGGCACAATTTCCCCTCGCAACAAAGATAATCATCATAACTGGCATTCATGCGAGCCTAGTTTCACATCAAACCAATATACAAATCGAAATAATCATGTAGTTTTCCATCAAACACGTGAAATCATTGAAGCAAGCAATAAAAACAAATAACATGAAGAAAATCGTCAATGTATTGTAATTAAATCATAGTAAATAGTCTTGAATTACTATAGGATCAACTTCATAAAAAATAAGAGTGTTTAGCTAGACATAGGAATGAAAAGAAATATAACCACAAGTAAAGAGACGATCACCATGGTGGGAATGACCTTAGAGGATGACTGCTGTCCCAGGCGGTTGTGGAATTTCTTATTCCTCCTTTTGCTTCTAAACTCAATTTGAGGGGAAAACTGAGCTCCTAACCCCTCTCCCAATGTAAAAGTGGGTAAAAGGTGTGGAAACTTATTTTCATGTGGTATCTATAGGCTCCTCAGGTTTTTATCGTCCCAAACCGACTTCTAGTGTTCATGTTCGTATTCTTGCACCTGAATCTCTGGTTTTCTTCATTTATCGTGTTTGAATAAAACATACTTCTTTGGTGTGCTTGATCTGAAAACCACAAAAAACCACCCAATGGGCATCAAAACCATACAACTATACCTAAAGGCTATAAAACACACATTAGGCAAATACTTAGCAAATTCATAGTAAAAACACCTAAAGATGGCAATAAAAAACAATGGATTTAACTAAGAATTTAATATGAAAACATCACTTTTTCAAGTGTATATCAACCCTATAACAAATGGAGTAGGAAGAGTAATATTCAACACATGGACCTTAAAGGCCAAGACGATAAAATCATGAACTTCATCTAGGATTGAGGGATTACCAGTAATAAAAAAACTAGGAGAATTGAAAAGTGACAAACTTATTTGTGCATTGGTTTTCATATTCATATTTGTTTATCCAAGGATGCATAGATCTCTTTTGTGTTGGGCATTTATGAGTACAAATCATTCAGGCAGTCCGAATGGAATTGATTATGTATCCCTGACATAGTATACTATTATCCTCCCCGTTTTTTTGTTGTTGTTTTGTTTATCCTTATGTCTATTGGAATTTAGGCCAAATACCAGAAAATGACCTATAGTTTAGACTTTCTGTAACTTGTACCACTATTTTTTTCTTGCGTCGGTTATGCCATAAAGTTTAGAGTCTCCATGTTAATATAAAAATGTCCTCCGTCGTTTCGTTGAGTGTTAGACTTATCGGACAACCAAATGGTGGTCAATATTTTGTTGACTTCGTGGCAACGTGTGTCCATATCATCGACATGTCAGGAAATAATATTTTTAAAATTTAATTGAAAAAATAAAAATATTTTTACCCACCTGTCGTTGTTGGCGATGCGCATGAGATGGATGCACCAGCGATTTTCAGAGGTGCATTCCTGACACAGCGACACTCCTCACCTCACTGTCACAGTAGCCCAGAATGGCACCATAGAATCCTGCCCACTCAACTTCTCCATCCTTACATAGCCTCGTTCGGAACGCAAACATCCCAGATCTCATCTTTGACGGATGTCCACAGTTTACAGGGCCTTCCATCGGCCAGATCTCTGATTTCCCTGCTTATCCTTTAATCTACGCTGCGTTGATTGTTAACTCCCTCGTTCCATACCAACAGCGGCACCACCAAGTGCTTGTTAAATCTATCCACGGACACTTGTTGAAGACGGGAGCGGCACTTCCAAACTCAGCTGGCCAACGACACTAAGGAGGACTATCCTGTGTGGGGACTGGAAGCTAATCATGCATCCGTAGTAAGACTATACTCTTTTCCGGTTAACTTGGTTGCAACTTATCCCTCCTTCTGACTACCACCATTTTTTGGAGCTACTATTTAGGATTGGATCACCGGGAACCTTCAACGGAAACACACTGGCCTTGAGTTTGGCCTTAACTGCTGGTCTCTATGAAAGAACAGGAACAATCGAGTCATTGCAGGCAAAATCATAACTTCTGAAGCTTTTCTATAGCGCGTCCAAGTTTGGATAACTTTCATGAGAGATGTCTTGGACAAAGATGTGAGAGGTTATAGTGATTACTACAAATGGTTACTAAGGGTAAATTGGGAATGGAAAAAATAAATTGTGTTAATTAATTTTTTAATAAATTATATTTGGGCAGTTACAAAAATCTTTTAATTACAATTCTCTCTCTTTCTCTCACTTCTGTAATCTCCAACAAGATCTCCTTTCCTTAATTGTCTCAATCTTTCTGAAAAAAAACATCACTATCAATCCATTAGGCAATCACTACCACTTCGAAAAACACCTATACCATTATAAAAAAAAACAAGAAATCAATACCAATCCATTAGACAACCACTACCACTTAGTAAAACACTACTATTGTACAAAACACCAATACCATTTGAGAAATAAAAAAACTACCATTTCACAAAACACCAGCACCATTGCGACAAAAACAATATCGATGCGACAAAAACAATACCATTGCTATGATAATCAATATTAATACAAAAAGTAGCAATACAAAACAAAACAATACCAAACCAAAAATAGATACCAATCCCGAAAAAATACATACTAATTCCCACCCTCACATCTCCGGATGCCACAAATCTATTGGAAAGAAATTGAACCTCAACCTCCTCCCTATTGGCAACGTAGCGGCCCAATACAAATCAAAATCGAGACCTGCAGAAGAAGAACAGAAGGGAAGATAGATAGTGGGGGTATCAGGAGGGTCGGAGAGAGAGGGAGGGGGAGGGATGGACGGCGCAAGCTAGCGGGCGGAAGGTCGGTCGGTGCAAGCAGGCTGGCGGGTTGCGGTGGGGAAGAGAGGCGGTGGGTTGCGGAGGGAGTGAGACATATGGGGCGGGGAGGGGAGATGGTGGGTTGCGGTGGGGAGGGGACGAGGGAATATGGTGGGCGGGCTGGCAGGGAGTCGCCGGAGAGGGAGAGGGAGGGAGGAAGGAAGTTAGGGGCAGGATGTCGGTGAGTTGTCAGATAGGGAGATGGAGGAAGGGCTTGACTGCTATTAGGGTTAGAATAATTATTTAAGGTTTGGAATAATATATAAAAAGTCATTTAAAGGATATTAATCTGGTATAGTTATTATTATTTTTCCAAAATTATCCCTAATCAATCCTAGCGGTTAGTTTAAAAATATTAAAAATGAGTGGTATAAATGTAGGTAGCCACGATGGTTAATAAAAAATTAGTAACCATCCTAACTCATCCTGACAAGGATAGACTAATTCATCATCCTAGTCCTCCTGCGAGAACGGAGGTGGAGATCTCTTGTAAGTCATCACTTCCCGAGTGGGTCCCCTCAACACCGATGGCTCCGTTCGCAATCATGCAGGTCATGTCGTAGCCGATGGCCTGCTTCCAGATCACTTAGGGCACTGTTTAGCAGTGTTCATGATGAACATGGGGATTTGCTCTATCACTCGGGCGGAGTTGAGGCCAGGGAGCTGTGGAGGGGCTTTAGATAGCTTGGGATGTTGTGTTTCACTACGTTATTTTGGAGCTAGACTAAGCTTGTTCCTCTTAGCTGTTGTTGAGTTCTAGCTCCGCGGAGCATTCGCATGCAACCATGATTGAGAGAGCAAAAGAGCTGCTGCATAGACAATAAGTCGTCCATGTTACCCATATTTATAGAGAAGGTATTAAGTGTGATGATTTTTTTGTCCGTCAAAGCCATGATGTATCTTTGAGATTACATTTGTTCTCTATTTCAGACCCTACTCTTTGCAACCGGCACCAATTGTTCGATGAATTTTCGAGTCCCGAATGGTTTTGAATGAAAATTAGGGTGAAGTTCAATTAGATAAATAAATAAATAAGAAAGCAATAGAGGAAAATACATATAAATGAAAGGGACAGAACGGTAAATCCCTCCAATTCCAAACCTTAGGTTTTTAAACGATAAGAAACCCTCGAGTCCTAACAGGTCGAGCTTCACTCTCTCCCTGCTTCCGCCGCTCTCCCTCCTCTGTCGACGAATCCACCAAACCAAATCTCATAAACAAGGTTGAAACCCAAAACCCTAATCAATCCCGGAGTCAGGGTTTCTTCCTATTCCCGTTTTTCGTTTAATCTGCTTCCCTTATGCCGGCGGCTGTTTTTGTTCTCACCAACGGATGATCTTTCTTTCTTGTTTTACTTCGCAGATGAATCGGGAGAAGCTTATGAAGATGGCCGGTTCTGTCCGCACCGGCGGAAAAGGAACCGTGCGCAGGTGGGTGGAATAGGGTTTTTCTCTGATGGGTTTAATTTTGTTTTGATTAGATTTGGGTGATTTAGGGTTTTGTTTTAATTGTTCATTCTTTTTGGTCCTTGTAGAAAGAAGAAGGCAGTGCACAAATCCACCACCACAGACGACAAGAAGCTTCAGAGCACTCTGAAGAGGATAGGTGTCAACACCATCCCGGCTATTGAGGAAGTCAACATCTTCAAGGATGATTTGGTCATTCAGTTTGTTAACCCTAAGGTGCAAGCTTCCATTGTTGCTAACACTTGGGTCATTACTGGTTCTCCTCAAACCAGAAGTAATCTCCCTCTCTTTCCTGTAATTATTTTATGTTTTCCGGGAGTCCAATGATGCTCTGTTTGCTGTGTGGTTTTTGGCTGATATAAATTTAACCTTGTAATATTGCAGAACTGCAAGATATTCTTCCAGGGATTATCAACCAGCTTGGTAAGTGTCTTTGCAGTCGGTTTGAATGTCGAATATGTGTTATAAACGAAGTTGGATTTAGTTGTAGGGACTGTCATTCATACTTTCTGAGCCTGTGTGTTGATTATGAACCCATGTTCTGTGGTGTCGTTCTTATCGAGGAGTGCCTCGAGAACCAACTTTTATATCTATTCATTGGTAAATCAAATGTGGTGTTTGTGCAATGACATGAACATGTTGATGGTTTCTGCCGAGGTTCCAAAGGTTGAAGGAAAATAGCATAATTGATATGCTACCTCACCTTGGCATTTAATAATGAAGGTTTTGTGTTTCTATGGAAGTCCTTGAAGTTCAACGTATTTCTTAGCTTTGTTTTAACCTGGCTTGTTAACGGCTCAAGAAGTCTCCGGTGCTTTTGCTGTTTTGTTTTCTACAGCTTTTGGTCTGATTTTACCCATCATCTACGGTGACTTGTGCATGCTAATTTCTTGATACTGTGTTTTCATTCATTTAGCTAAACTCTTTTGGAGCTGTCAAAATATCATGCTTGAACTTGTTCTTTCCATTCTCGGTCTTGCTGGAAACTAGAGTTGCATTTTGCTTGCTGTTGATGCTATTGTTTTCCGACATCTCAGGGCCAGATAACTTGGACAACCTGAAGAAGTTGGCTGAGCAGTTCCAAAAGGAGGCCCCGGGTGGTGCCGCAGTTGTTCAGGAAGATGATGATGATGTCCCAGAGCTTGTAGCCGGAGAGACATTTGAAGCTGCAGCGGCAGAAGAAACCCATGCTTAAGACCGTGGAGCTTTGGGAGCATTTTTTGTTTTGCTTTTCTTCAGATTCGCTCTAATTCTGTCCATGGTTGTTACCCCCCTCTTTTCTCCGCGCTGAACTTGACAATTCTGTGGTAGTTTTTATCTTTTAACAGTTATTGTGAGCAACGCAGATTCGAGTATCATTATGAAATCTTCTAAAACAGTTTTATAGTGTCGTATGATGTTTTCTAGGAGACTTACGACCATTCAGATCAAAGATCCGTATTCGCAGCGCTTTTGGTTTAGTGTATTATGTTCATTGATTGTGAAGCTCCACGGCTCATAGCATGTACTATTTTCTTGGAAATGGTTAGTGTTACAAGTCACAACTCTTTGATCATAATGTACTGCACCTAGTTACGTTCATGTATGCATGTACTTGTGACGAGCTTGGAGCAATAATTTTGGTAGCTGGGAACAATGGATGCGGCTTGATGTGCTTAATATTCAGGCATAGGTGCTTGATTTTGTATAGGGACATGCCGAGTGGTGTTCACTGTTCAGAAGGGCTGCAACTCTGGATTCTAAGTTCTAACGATGGTCGGAAGAGGAGTGGCAGACGCTTTCCATATCAAATTAGCAAAACCTTTTAACTGAAGCGCGAAGGAATAAGTATGGTGGCTGACAGATGGCGCACCTCAAAGACAGCAAGGAAAATGGCTAACGAAAGAAAGAACACAGCGTTTCAGAGAGGGAGACGTGAGAGGGCACTCCGTTTAGGCATTTCAGTGAAATCGTCCAGCTATTGCCATTTTGAGAGGGCAAACTGCAAAGAGCAAAGGTCGTTTGACGTCTATCACACTCGGAGAAAGTGTCACTCAGTGCAATAAGATGGAGGTGTCAGCCAATAAGCACCTCCCACATTTAGGCATTCGGCCATCATCAGTTCAACATTGGTTGAAGAACCTACGGCCGTTCCACTACTCCCTACCCAGTCCAGTCCCACTTTCACAGACCATCCTCCGTTTCGAACAAGCCGTTCCAAGGCATCATCTGATAACACAAACTGACCTAACCTCGACAACACTTCAACAGTAACCCTATGACCTGCCGGCCTGCATCTCGCACCCACTGTCAAGAGGATCGCCAGCTACCGACCTTTCTCAGCGCTGATCACTGAGCCACAGCACAAAGATTCTATGGTACTAAATTCAATCCAGCCAAAATAGCCCTTCCACTACAGTCTACAGACGAGCAGTCTAATATTCTCAGGGTTGCCTTGTTAAGCAAACCCTGAGCAGCCAAAATAGCCCATCCCAAGAGAGCCTGGTTAATCAAACAACTGCCTTATAGAAAGAGATCCGCTCGCAAATCGAAGTGAATAATCGAGCAAATCTAAAACACTCCCAGTTCTAGAAACAACGATTAGCCACCAAATCAGTCGGTACTGAAACAGAAGGTAAGATAAACTGAACTCTACATGGTGGCTATGTTACCGTGCTCATCTTGTCGGAGTTGGAGGAGCTAAGTTAATGCATGTCCATTGGATCATCTGCTCCAGTTCACACACCTCAAGTCTAACATCCTAGTGAGCAGAAAACCAGTGATATAGAGAGAAATCTTTAGTCGGTGAAAAGCATTTGACAACTAGCCCTAGCCATCACACGTGATTCAAACATCAAAACAGGGAGGTTGATGCTAACACCGGGTTAAAAGAGCATGACCAATCCACATCGACCAACCGATACAGCATTATAGATAAAACTAGGCAGGGGTTACGAGACCAACATATTTTATTCCGAGAACCAATCAGTAAGCAATGACGGCACTCCATACAGCATCCAGCAAGTCTGAAGACACATAAAACACCACCCCAACTAAAAACTGGTTTTCAGTTTGCTGATGATCCAAGACAGCAACACAGCGCAAACTTAGAAAGCAACAAATTCTGGATACTATTATCCCCAAACTTTCAATCCCACCTCAACTCTCATGCATATGTGAGATCTCTTCACCCTTTTTCTTTCTAAACAACTTGAAAGTCTATTAGGTAGATAACAAGATCTCGCTGATCTTGCAACTTCTAGAAACCATGGATCTTGATGTTCTCCTTCTTCACAATCCCAGCCTACTCCCACCAAAAAAAACACCATAAGCTAATGATAAACAAGGAATTGATCGATTGAAGAATTGGTACAAGGATTGGGAATTGCTAGTACCTGCACAAGGAATGTGGAGACGTTCTTCCTCTGATCGCCCTGAAGCTGAATGACCTGCAATACACGCACAAAGTCCAAAAATTTCAGTCAGACAATAAACTGGGATAGGACATGAAAATGAACTCCATCAAGAGGGAGGGAGGGATGGTTTCTATACAAACCTGGCCTAACTCAGGGTCCTGGACAACTGTACCATTACAGCAGAACTCCTTCTTCAAGTCCTTGAGTATCTTGTTGTAGCTGAACTCTTTCTTCAACCCTTGCACAGTAGTCAGGCTTTTTCTCCCATTTCGCTGCTGGATGCGCACATGAACGTACTCTTTTGTACCCGCGCCGGAGTCCTCAGCATTTGCATCAGCAAAAGGGTCTGCACAACAATGACCCAGATAAGCAAAACTCAAAAGGCACAGAGAAATATAGTGACTGGAGATAGGGAACATACCATATGCAGATGGAATCTGATTGTCAAACTCAGACATGAACCTTGGATTGAATTAGTAGAACAGAACCACTACAATGCTCTTGTGCAGCGTTAGTCTTCAAATGCTGGAATCAAACCACAAAACACGAGAAGCCCTATAGTCAGAAAACTGCGGCATTAGAGTAGACCAAATCTCAAAAAATACGAAACTATACACAATTCACCAATATCATAATTATCCCAACCACACTTTCAAAGATCAGATCAGCTTACTATCTACAACCAATGACATTCATCCCAAACAACCCACCCACAAAAAAGTTCCCTCATTGTTCGCACACTATCAGCTATTGCACGTACATAGCGGATGGATCCATCCACAACACCGGCAAACAATAACAGATAACATGCACCAAGAGTCCGCAAGAAGATTAAATCTCACCGGAATGAAACACAAACGAACAACTCAGAAGCGCCCTCAGTTTCAATCGCAACAAAAAAAAAAAAAAAACCTATTACAAAGCACAAACCCTAAAATCCAGCACGCATCGAAAGAACCAAAAGAGGATCCAACCCATAACGACCCGCAAAAGAAATCCGAGGCAAAAAGGAAAAAAGCTCCGGAAATCTAAATAAAGGTGGAGCCTTTCCGATCAAAACAAGAACAATTGCGAGAAAGAAAGACAATTCACGAACCACAACAAGAAGCGAAGGGGGGAGCCTGGATTCTCCCGATTACCGACCTGAGAAAGGGGGTGGAAGCTTGATGAATCGGGGATCGGGAGGAAAAGGGAAGCGGACACAAGGCGGAGGAGGAGATAGAGAGAGATTGAGGAGATATTTTTTTCCTATATAGAGCAGAGGCGACTCTTTTTTTTTTTTTTTTTTTTTTCTCTGGACCACACGAAAAAACCAAATGAACCGCCTCTCCTTCCTTCTCTATCTCTCTCTACTCTCTTATACAACAAATGGGTTTCCTCTCCCAACCCTACGAATTTTTGGGTCATAGATAGACTCCACAAAGGCGACCGCCTAGGCTCAAGCTCGGCTATTTTTTCGTCGGTTGAGAGTGATTATGATTGTCGGCTGGATGGACGGCTGTGATCGTTTGAGTGCCATGCGGGACCCGCTATTTTGGGGAAATTGCTAAAAGTTCGTTGAACGAAGACTAGGGAATAAATGATTAAATATACAATTAATTATAGACTAATGACAAATACCTCACTAGTCACTTCTGCGTATAGTTTACGCTTTGGGATCGATGTGGACAACTCGATATGGGCCCAACTAGACGGCCTATATAAAGCCCAATGAGGAGGCGTGGTCCGTCCTATAGAGGAGATTTGATGTGGTGATTAGCGATGAAAATGGTTCGAGTTGGGTTGGGTTTTGTCAAATACAAACCCAAATTCATGGGTTTATTCGAAAAAATTTTGGGGTAAAACACACTGGGTTTGAAAAACTCAAACCCAACCCAACCCGCTGGGTATCCGCGGGTTCACGGGTACCCACTGGTTTTTGTCGTAAAAATATTTACAATAACAAGTTCCTATCAAAATTAAAGTCAAATATCAATCTCTCAATACAAATTATCCATATATAAAACACCATTCTAGAAAATTCAAGCAAATCACAAATTAACTATTCAAATTATTCAACACCAAAACCAAAAAACACAAGACAATTGAAGCAAATCACAAATTATCCATAAATAACATGATTAATTGAAAGCTTCTTTCTCCTTGTCAATTAAGTTTGTTCACTCTCCACTCAATAACATTTACTTCATTCTACAAGATTAGAAAGAAAAAATTAGACATGTCTTCACAAACATAAATAAGATTAGTTGTTTAGAATATTAAATATACCGAGAAAATTAATTATATGGGTGGGAGGGTACCCATTGGGCTGGTTTACCTAAACCCAACCCGGTGAATAGTGAATGTGTTTAAACCCAAACCCGACCCAAAACCCGTCAACACGGGTTTTACCCGCGTTGACTGGGTTGGGTCGGATGGGTACCCGTGAGTTCGGGTTTTGTTGCCATCCCTAGTGGTGATATCATGTCCATGAAACTGTACTGTACCGACGGTTTAACCACGAAATATTATATCAGAGGCTAAATCGGTAGGCGGCATTCCATAGTACTAGCGATTGAACTACAGTTAAACCATGATTTTATTATAAAATATTCTACTGTTGACTTTTTCGGTACGATATCCGGTACGATTTTATGGACCATGATATTGCTGGGATGGCAAATGGGCTTTCAAGTTTGGGTATTACCCAAATCCAACTTATTATTGGTCAAATCAAGTTTGGGTAATTTCCTTTTGGGCATATCCATACCCAATTGTTTAGTTTGGGTCTAAATTGGACCCATAGTATTGTAAGTCCACATGAAAATGGGTATCCGATTATAATGCAATTTTTGTCTTATTTTTTGCTATGAATAAAATTGAAAGGATAAAACACATACATTAAAGGTGTACAATTGGATTGAAAGTAGTTAAGGAAATAGTTTATATAATTTTTGTGTATTAACCCAAATAAGACCCAATTCATACCAACCCAAACCAAAATCATTAAAAATGCATTTGAGTCCATTTTGGTCCGACCCAATACCCATATGGGTCATGGCATTTGAGTCAAATAATCCAATGGGTCTACCCATTGACATGTCTAGATATTGTCGCCCAAAGGAGGCAACACATATGCCATTTCAAGGGGCATAGTAGGGGTAGGCAACGAGAAAAGGGTATTTGGGTATGTCCAAACCCATTCCATTTTTTTAGGGTTATGGGTACTAAAATACCCGTAATATTTATAAAAAGATAGGGTTTGCAATTAAAATTTTCAACATTGGGTACCTGCGGTTGCGGGTTCTCCGCTAATAACCGTTTGAGTAGTATGAGTACCCATAATATCAATTACGATTTAGGAGATTAGCTTCATCATCAAGATATCATTTTCATGTTATGTGGGTTCAATTAATCAATGGCCGAATGTGATTATGGAAAGTAGCTTTAGCTACTTCTTTTAAATCTTATGTCCTTTCACGTAAGGAGGAGCCGATGGACAAAGCCTTAGCTACTTCTCTTAATTCTGATGCCATTTTGTTTTGTGCCTAGTGTACCAACTATCAAGTCTCTTCTTCATTTTTTTCCAGGTTTGATTTTGTTATTTTTTTCAAGTGTAGTTTTGTAATTGTTCTCATGTTGAACGGGTATATACAGGTAGTTTGGGTACCCGTTAACCCATATGGATAATTTAGGTATAAGTTAACCCATAAGAATTTGAGACATGGAATGGACTTTGCTTTCCAAATGAGATTGGGTACCCGTTTCATACAGAACGAGTACCCAATCCCATCTCGTTGTCCACCCTAGCAAATAGTTGTGGAAAAGTTTTGCTAGGACAATTTGAAATCAAAATTTCAATGAACGATGGACACTGAGAAAATGGTTTTACGGAGAATTTAAGATGGAGCTGAGGGGATCCCATATAAGTTTATAGTAGAAACAAAATTCTAAATTGAGATCGGGTCGAGAGAGCAAATAGAAACTCAAAATAGTGCAGAAATATGATATGGTTAGTATTGCTGTTTCATAATCGATAATATGGCCATACAACTACAAGTACAATCCATGGATTCAATTCGAAAATTCTAATTAAATTTAATATAATAAAATGTTATGAAGAAATGAGATTTGAAAGCTATTGTGCGAGCATAAGGAATGAGAAGTCCTCATCATTACGAGTGGTAATCGGTTGGTTACCGGTTATCTGTATATCGATTAGAGGCAAGCTGTTGCCGACTACCGATACTGGTAGCAATCCGGTTAATCGGTTAACTGGTCAACCGGTTAACGATTATCAACCAGTTACTGCCACAAATACCGTTGCTCCTTAACTTGAGACACTTTGGGAGCAGAGCGAATAATAATGGGAGTTACTATTTCACGCCCTAGAGTTCAAAAACAGTCGCCCTAAAACCTATTACAATTACACTTATGCCCTTTACATTCAATTAACCCCTACCCCTCCTCTGTCTCCGATCTAACCTCATCCCGACATCTGCCGCCACTCTACGATGCTGCTGCCGTCGGATTTTGCCGACTTTGAGGATAAAGAAGGATACCCCCATCTCTGCTGGAGTTGCACCTCCTTCGGGAGAAGGAAGAAGATCGAAAGAGAGCCGAATCTGATGCCTTTTGAAGTCCACCGGGAGCCCAACTCTGCCGTCGCCCGATAAGGAAGAAGAGGGGAGGATAAAAGAATCGTTGGCTGGGTTCTTCCCGTCCGGTGAGCAGCAGAGGCAGGTAGGGCATGCATCTGGCCAAGGGTAGGGTTCCGTGCGCCACCCGAGTGGGGGAGAATTGAGCTACAACGTAGGATTTGTTTTGGTGGTCGGAGGTGGCGGCGGTGACAGACGTAGAAAAACGGAATTAGTACGGAGCAACAGAGCGAGTCTTGTCTAGGGCAAAAAACTGATCACGATTTTCTAGGAATTAGGAATAGGTTGGGGTAAAATCGTCACTTTCGGTAAGTTTAGGGCGTAAAATTTAAAAAGTTAGGGCATTAAATAGAAGTTCAGATAATAATTGGAGGCCAAGCTACATCACCACCTCCTGCTTCTCAACTCCACACACCTCCTTTCTTATTCCCTAATCAATTAATTACTTCATCTTTCACCTTCACGTGCTGCTGCTACTGATTGCACCCAATGCTAATCGTTCCTCCAGTTGAAACTACTATGGTCGCCAAAAGCTCCGGTGGCCGAAGATGGAAGAAGTTGTTTTTGAGAAGAAACAAAGATAACATTCGACAACAAGTAGCAGCAGGCAGTGAATCCCTGATCTGGTTAGGAATCGACGAATCCCACGATTCCCTAATTCAATTGAAGTTCCCCCAAGCGGCGAATCCCAGATATGGCTCTGAATCAGCGGCTGTGAAATGATGAAGAAGACAAGAATATGGTGATACCCGCAAGGGATTCTGGTGCCTCAAAGGGCATTTATATACTCAAGCTTAAAGCTGACTGTACACTGCTAATCTCTATTTAACTGTAACAAACAGAAAATCAAACTATCTACCAATAAGAAGACGACAACTATATATGTACAGTATAAATGGAAAAGGGAGAACGCTTAAGTGAAACGGCTCCATCTTGACTCAACCCCTCTTTTGCTTTTGAATAAAATGGCGACGTGCCACGAGCTCAACAAGCTTCCACCTTGGTTCGTATAAAGTCAAGCTTCTCTTCTTCAGTTCTTTGTAGTATACTGTAATAGCCTCCCTCAAGATGAGATATACATGTTGTGTATGTTCAGCTTGGATAGTAAGAACTAAAGCCTGAATTTGCTGAGCCCTTTTGTAAAAAGGTCTGCAATTTGATTCTTTGTATCCAGATGATTCAGGCTAATAAGCTTTGATTGTATGGATTGTCGAACCATGTGACAATCGATCTCTATATGCTTTGTTATTTCATGGAACACTGGATTTTCAGCTATTTATATAGTTGTCACAATAGAGCTGTAGAGGTTGAGAATGAAACATCTGCAGTTCCTGTAACAATCTCTTAACCCAAACAACCTCACAAGTGAGCTGAGCAAGAGCTCTATACTTAGTCTCAGAGGAAGATCGAGAATCAGTTTCCTACTTCTTTGATTTCCAAATGATAAGGGATCTTCCAAGGGAAATGCAATAACCAGTTGTAGATCTTCTCATATCTGGGCATGGTGCAAAGTCAGAGTCACTATATCCTCTAAGCAGAAAATCAGATTGAGTTGATAGAATAGACCCTGACCTGGTGCATTCTTTAAATACTCCAGTATCATGTAGGCTAGCTACAGATGATATGTAGTAGGTGCATTCTGATGTTGTCAAAGTTGTTGAAGTGCAAAAGTTATCTCAGGTCGTGTAATAGTTAAATAGTGCAATTTGCCAACAATAATTTTGTAAAGGCTAGAATCTTCAAGAAGTGGACCATCATCTGCAGTCAAGTGTGTCTTCATGTCAATAGGTGTCACTACTGGTTTGCTATCAACAAAACCAGTGTCCTTCAACAGGTCAATACAGTATTTATGTTGGCAAATAAGCAAACCCTGCCTTGATCTAGCAATCTCTAAACCAAGGAAGTAGTGCAGATTGCCAAGATCACGGATTTTTAACTGATATGGAGAAAAGCTTTCAAAGCATCCATACCGTGAACATCATCCCCTGCAATGATGATGTCATCAACATAAACCAATAAAACTGATATGCCTTGTGCCCCATTGTGAATGAACATTGAGTAATCACTATGAGACTGTGTATAACCAAAGCTGATCAGTGCTGAAGTTAACTTGGAAAACCATTGACGTGATGTCTGATTAAGTCCATACAAAGACTTTCTAAATTTGCATACATGTCCTGGTTGAGTGAAGCCAGGTGGTAAGTCCATGTATACCTCCTCTTCAAGATCTCCATGGAGAAATGCATTGCTCACATCCAACTGTGACATGCTCCAATTCTTGGGTGCTGCAATGGCAAGGAGAGTCTTGACTGAATTCAGTTTAGCAATAGGAGAGTAAGTGTCCAGGAAATCGATTCCATGAGTAAATTCCTTTTTCTACTAAATGTGCCTTATATCTTTGCACTGAACCATCTGGATTAAACTTGATGGTGAATACCCATCGATCTCCAATTAGCCTCTTTCCTTCAGGAAAGGAAACAACTTTCCAATTGGCCTCTTTGATATCAAAGCTTCAATTTCCATAATCATGGCCTTTCTCCATCTTTCATTCTACATAGCTTCCTAAAAAATACTAGGTATCCAATGTGAATCCATAGCACACATATACTTTCTATATCCCTTTGACTTTTGATCATAGGATAAACAAGCAACCAATCGATAAACATGTTTGCCAGCATTAGTTTTCAAATTCAAAACATAATCATCATATTTGATAGGCTGGATAATTTGTCTTGGTTGTTTTCTCAGGGCTATATGTAATGTGTGGAAAGAGGAGGAATGCAGGTCTGAGTGTGTAACAGGAGAAGGAGATGGAGATATGGTTTGGGAAGTGGAACCTGTACTAGAAACAAGTGTCGAGAGAGAAGCTGTGGAATGTGAAATTGGTTGAGGGGAAGGAGAAGAAAACTGTGGTGAAGTAGGTTCAGGGAATTCATGGTCTAGTGACAATTCAAAGGGAATGGGAGGAACTGGTAAGTTGGAAGGTGTAGTGATAGGCAAGTCAGAAGATGGTGATGTGGTATCTGCTTCAAGTGAAGAAGAAGAAAGATCTGAAGCAGTTTGAAGAGGTAGACAAGGAATGATGTGCTCATGAAACACAACATGCCTAGAAATGATGATCTTCTGATATGTAAGATCAAAAAGTTTATAGCCCTTAGTACCAGGTGGAAAACCAAGAAACACAAAAGGTTTGGCTCTAGGTGTAAACTTAGTTTTGTGATGCACAAGGGTACTAGCATAACTGAGACAACCAAAAACTTTGAGGTTTGATAGATCTTGTGGGTACCATAAAGTAATTCATATGAAGTTTTGTTGTTAAGAGCCACAATAGGTAATCTGTTTATGAGAAAAACAACATGAAGGATGAAATCAAACCATAATTTCAAAGGTAATCCTGATTGGAACTTCAAGGCTCTAGCTACATTTAGGATATGTTGGTATTTTCTCTCAACTCTGGCATTTTGTTGTGGTGTCTCAACACACGACATCTGATGCATAATGCCATGTTGGGAATAGAATTGAGGGATATGGAATTCTGCTCCTTGGTCTGCTCCTTGGTCTTATGTAACTAGACATGGAACAAGTGACATGATCTGTTGCTCCTATATCTAAAAACCAAATGCTGGCAAATTCCATTGGATGCTTGAGAAAGTGTGTTGATAGAGTAAATTTATATGAAGAATTGAGGTTAACTAACAGATTCCTGCTAATAGAATTCACCATTGGTGATGATTATTGCTGATTTAGTGGAATAAGAGCTGCTCCAGATGATCCAGATGATGTAGGAGAAGCTGGAGGGCTGAACTGACTCAATAGCTTTTGTAAGCGAAAAAGATCATTAGTTGAGAGTCCGATATTGGTATAGTTATCACTTCCTTCCAATGCACTCCTTGTCTCAGGTCTAGGTAGTATCCCAGATCCAGGGTTCTCAATCCCTTGAACCTGTCCAGCAAAACCAGAAGTACCTCCTTGCTCTTTGTTCTTCTTCTTAAGCTTAAAGCAATAAGCAATAACGTGGTTGTCCTTTTTGCAATACCTACAGAAAAGGCGTCCTTTGACATTCTCCTTTCCTTTAGACTGATTTGCAGCAAGCAAAGCAACTGAATCCACCCGTGCCTCAGGACTAGGTTTTGCAACCTATCTCTCATGTTGTATGGCATAATGAAACGCAGTTTCCATAGAAGGTAGTGGTTGCATCATAAGCAAATTAGTCTTTACACCACTGTAGGCATAAGACAGACCAATAATAAAACAAGTGACGACGAACTCATTCTCTCTGTATTTCTTCACAGTTGTTTTAGTAATGCAAGGTATGGCATGGTTTCTAGATTCTCTACCACAAACACAATCAGAAATAGGCAAAAACTGGACTAGCTCATCCTAGAAACCCTTCATATTCGAATAGAATTGATTAACAGATCTATTACCTTGCTTCTGGGTATAAAGAGTTGTTTGCAAATCACTGATTCTGATGTTGTCTGCCTGCCCAAATCGCTGCCTTATATCTTCCTATAACAGCCTTGCGTTGTCCTGTGAAGAAACGCTGTGAACGAAACTTGGATCTAAAGACCCCAAAATCATGAAATACACTGCTGTGTTACTCTGTTCCCATGTCGCATAACCTTCATCAGTGGGGGATGGAGCTGGAATAGTACCACTGATGAACCCGAGTTTGTTCTTGCTCTTGAGAGCAACTCGAACAGTTCTACTCCATAGGTTGTAATTAGTTTTTCCAAAGAGCTTGATAAGAAAAACCAAGGACTCATTATGGTTAACGTAGAATGAGTTTGTTACTGTGCACAAAGAAAAAGTGGAAGAGGAGTTTGAATTAACAGAGGTAGAAGTAGAAGAAGGTGTGGTAGCCATTGTTGATGGATTCCACTAGAGATCAAGAATGTGGGTTATGGTATGGGTAAGGAAACCCTAGATGCATGAACCAGGTTCTGATACCATGTGAAATTATGAAGAAGACAAGAATATGGTGAAACCCGCAAGGGATTCTGGTGCCTCAAAGGGCATTTATATACTCAAGCTTAAAGATGACTGTACAATTCTGTTTAATGGTAACAAACAGAAAATCAAACTATCTACCAATAAGAAGACGACAACTATATATGTACAGTGTAAATGGAAAAGGGAGAACGCTTAAGTGAAATGGCTCCGTCTTGACTCAGCCCCTATGTTGCTTCTGAATAAAACGACGACGTGCCACGAGCTCAACAAGCGTCCACCTTGGTTCGTATAAAGTCAAGCTTCTCTTCTTCAGTTCTTTGTAGTATACTATAATAGCGGCGACGAATTTCAGATTTGGCTACGAATCAGTGAAGACGCCTTCCTCTAAACATGCATGCATCATCGACTCATCTAGGTGGAACCCGACCTCAACTTGATTTCTTTGCCTTGCGGAGAGCTCTCCTCCAATGACCTGAAATGGAAAGGAATAAAATACATGGGGGATTGGACGACGAAAAGGAAGAGTGAGAAAGGCAAGGAAGCTGCTATATCTCTTGCCATGGAAGGAGGCAGGAGCAAGAACGATAGAGGGGATGGAATTGGCGTGGGCTGTTTCTTCTTCTTTTTTTGATTTCTTGAAGAGAACAACTCCAACTCTGAGTCGATTCCATGGCCTTCTTGATTCTTGAACAAAATCATGTGTTATTCGGTATACCGAGTAACCGCCGGTTACTGACTGGATAAGAGTCGGTATACCGAATGATGGATTTGTATTATTGTATACCGTTATTGCCGGTTATCGGTT